GAAATATTAATTATATCTGAAATTGCATTGCATTTGCTCTGAAGCCTTCATTTCTCTAAAATATTTATTAAAAAATTAAAGAAATTTTTAGTTTTTGCTAATGGGCAGTTAAAATATGTGCAACGCGGGAGACATTGGAACTCCGTTCTTTTATTTTATTTTTCATAAATCAGGTCTTTGGTTTTCACGTTTGAATCGTTTTACATTTTGTCAAGTCGGAGCCTGTTACAGCTAACTATACGGTATGGGTTTTGCTCATTGTTGAATGCCGTAAAGGAACCTGTAGTTGCTTACGTCCACGTCTTTTGGTCACGGATAGAAAGTTGTCTCATTGGCAATCATACCACATCTCATTATGTTTACATGGATTGATTTAAGACTTGTCATATGATTTTTCACTTTAATATCCATAATTGAAGGGGTGTCATGTCCTTCAGATTTCTTCTTAGTTAACTTTTGTTTTTGCTGTTTCATTGTTGTTTCCTTACTTTCTTATGGAGTTATATTTAATACCAATCAATGACCACTCGAGATTTATGAATTTTGACACTTTTAGATAGCAAGAGGTTATGGGTTTTTAATATTTCTACTTATTTCAATTCTTTTTTATTTCAGATTATTTATATTTAACTTATTTCGGTCATTCAGAATTGTAAAAAAACAACTTGCAGCATAATGACGTAATAGTCGTTTCGCCTTGACTTCGTATTTATATTTCCTGACAATTGGTTATGTGCAAATATTTAGTTTTATTCATTTCGTACTTATCATATTGTTATATGCTTATCGGTTTAACAATATGAAGACTATTCTTATCGGAGTTGTTCTAGTCTTGAAAGTTGTATGGTCGCTGGAAACGTTAGATGGAAAACTACCAATTCTAAAAGGAAACGGAATACCATTAAATATTGATATAGATGTTTCTGAGTTTAACAGAAGATTTGCCGACATTGTTAACAAAGGCATACCCGAAGAAATATCAGGTAATTTAAGAATTGTATATATTTATTTAGAGGATACTAAACATGCATTCATCAGTTTTTTTATGATAAATTTATTTTAAAATCTCAAAAATATTGACAGTAAGGGCCGTTTGAGAACTTAATCTTACGACATATCTGATAATTTCAATTGTTCCATTATGAACATTCCATTTCTATGTATAGTACTATTTTCAAATGCATGATGAGTATGGACATTGAGAATATATCCCCCAGTCGATACCACATTCCAGGGCTGGCGTTTCCTATCATGATTTCCATCATAGAGAGTTTCTGCTATCAAGGAAGTTATTGTATATTTGAAGTCATCTTTTCATGTATACATCAAAAGTATGCGGTCATAATTTGAACGACCGTTATGGGAAATGTTTGTTTGTCACAAACGGCCGTAGATATGTTCCATTTATCTTATTTTTATAGTGCGCAGTCAAAATTTATGCAGGCTATAATAAATTCTATGCTTTTATAATACCAATCTTTATAGGATTAGGTCTAAACTAAAATAACCCCAATATAAACACGAATGAAGTGAAGCCGCTGTTCCGGGATTGTAATCAATAGTAGCAATTACTCCAACGAGAACACAATCAATATTGCGACGAATAAAAAATTAACAATTAACATTGATTATTAAAACCCAACACGAGTTTATTTATAAAATTTGAAATATACAAAATCTACAAAATGTACAAAACAAAGGCTTGGCATTAAAAAAAACAAATAAGAGAAAAGTAAGGATCTGACCATTGGAACCTCTGTTGCTTTGAATATCTGTCTCGTCTTCTTCTTCTTTCGTTTGGCCCTTTTCCGATTACTTTTTCAACATCAAGCACTCGTTACATTCGACAAAATCATGATTTTGAAAGGGAAACTAAGTGATGCAAGCTAACAAGTTGTGAATCATGAGGTACTATAATACCCGAAATACTATCATATTCCATGTTTGCCCGATAGAAGTTATTATTTGTTTTTCGCCAATTTTATGACAAATGGATTTTTTCGAAACGAATAATGCTTGCCTATAATTATTATTACAGTCATGATAGTACATAAAGTAGAGTATTAATTAATGCTGATTTTATTGGTTTATGGCATCCGCATTCTTGGGAAGATAGTAAAGTACTATCATCAGTGCAATTAACAAGTGGTTACTGAAAGATAGTGCAAAGCCAAATTTCAGCTAATTAATAACCATTCTATCATACTTAAATATCAATCAGTACACTCCAACAGATTTTAACATGACCTTGTCACAATGTGCAATACAAAAACTTAATTTAAGATGATTTTATTGATCAAGTTTGTCTATTAAACACCGTAATAAAAATCTTTAAATATTGTTTTAATCGGTAGTAACATTGATTTTGTTTTTTTAATAAAATACATCATGACTAAATATATTGCTATATATGTACAGCTAGGACTACTCATAATCCTACATCCGGTAGAGACTGTTTTTTTATATTTTGGCATTGCACAAGATCAGGTGTTTCTCAGACTGTTTATGACGTTATACTAAATCCGTTGGATGTATACTTATTGATACTTTAGTCTGGGCGAACAGGATTTATTTATTAGTTGTAATCGACTTTCAGCTACTGCGAGTACTCTTATATTGGTGCGCTGTGTCAAGAGTTTTTTTTTAAGCAAGTTGCTATTTAGTGTTTCGTAACGAGTTAAGCAATTTGGAACTAATTTTAACAGTTTGTTCTTATGTTGTGATGTTACACCACTGTCCCAGGTTTGGGAAGGGTTGTGCGCTCACAAACATTATCAACCCCGCTATGTTCTTCTTGTGTCTGTCCCAAGTCATAGCTTGTAATTCATGGGTTGTCGTTGGTTCTTGTCTATCATATTTGTTTTTTTCGTAAATTGCATTATTATGAATTAGGGCATTAGTTTCTCGTTTGAATTGTTTTAAATTTTTCATGAAGAGGCCTTTTAAAGCTACCCATATAGTATGTGTTTTGTTCATTTTTGAAGGCCATACGATGACCTATAATTGCTTATGTCGACGTCGTTTGAACTTAGGTGGATAGTTGTCTCATTGGCAATCTCACTACATCTGCTTCTTTTTATTCGTATCCGTATGTTGACCTCAATAGATATCGTTTGGTTGAAATGTGTTGAGACAACATGTCATGAATATTTATGGAATTAAATTAAGAAAGCCATTTGAGGAAAAAATGTAAGAAAAAATATTGCTTCATTTTTTATCTTTTATGTTCATATATTTTTTATCATTAGTGTTAAAATCTTTAAAGCGAAGTTTAAAGGCTTGTTGGATTTTGCTCAGTTCTTTTTACCTCCCAAGCGAAAGTTTCCTTAAACCATAAGTCAAAAGACCGTAATTCTGCAGTATGTTAGGCTTACATATATAGTTGGATTAGGATGGATAAAAGGAATCAATGCACACATCTGCATTTTAATGGAACAAAAATAGTGTTTGGTTTGCATTTAGGAATTTTAGAGTGATGAAAATAACAAAACGTTTGTATTTCCCCTTAAGAAGTAATCAACGTAACCCACATCCCTTTAATACAATTAACTATAGTATGTTGTGCGCAACCTCAATTATTTTATAGAGACTGTATAATAACCAGGTTATAGTTAGTTAGCAATGTTTTTCAGAGAAACTTTCAGTTTATTTGAAAAGTGAGAGATTTAAAGAAGTTGTAAGCAATGAAACCAAAGAAGACATGAAAGCAATAGCACATCAAGCTTTGAATGGTGAGGTATATTATGTGTAATCAATTGTAAATTAAACATACCACAAGGTAACCTATTCCAAACTGCTTTTAGTATGACCCGTGATTTTGTTTTTCACGTCTTAAAGTTTTGTTTTAAAATGTACTTGCCATGTAATTGGTATAAACCAAGCGCCAACATAATCAAATTCCTGACTGATCCAAACAATGTGAGCGTTTATACTTTAAGCAATTTAAACTTAGCAAGTCATATCAAGCTAAAAAAAAGACAGTAAACATTTGCTTGTTTAAGTTTATCATTTAGTTCTACAGAGTAAGCAAAGTCCTGTATGCAAGAATGAGAATAGTAACGGTGCTGAACTCCTATTTTTCTTTTTACTTTTTTCTCTCTCTATTTAAAGATATATTCAAGCCTTATGTCAACAGCGGCGAATTTAAGCAAGATCTGAAGAGAATGTCGGCCTTGATAACCAAAGGTAAACTTATCTAATGATTTATATTTTTCTTTCTTATTGGTGTTTCGAAAATATAGTTTCATTTTAAAAGATAACAACTATTTATCAAATATATTCGATCCCAATAGCCATATGGGATTAATCGTTATGGATCACAATAACCATATTTAGTTAAAAGATTACAGTAATACACAGTTAATGGACCACAAAATCCATGTAAAATGAATAGTCATATACAATAAATTATATACATTTATACAATAAATGGATCACGATAAAAATATACCATAAATAAATCACTATAACTATATCCAATAAATGGATTACAACAGCCGTATACAATAAATAGATCACAATAGACATATACAATAAATGGATCACAACAGCCACATACAATAAATAGGATCACAATAGCCATAAACAAGAAAAAGATATCTACAGCCATATACTATAAATGGATCACAATAGGCATAAACAAGAAAAAGATCACAACAACCATATACAATAAATGGATCATAATAGCCATAAACAAGAAAAAAAATCTCAACAGCCATATACAATAAATGGATCACAATAGCCATAAACAAGAAAAAGATCACAACGTTTATATACAATAAATGGATCACAAAAGCCATATACAAAAAAATGGATTAAATGTACAGCATTAAAAGTAATGGAGATATGAGTAAATAAATTCGTCTTAATAGTACACGAAAACGTTAAATTGTATATTAGACATTTGTTTATTGTTGACCTCTATCTGTAGTGTGTATTCGTTGGGGAAACTGTTTCATTGACGTTTACCTACTATCTTCTTTATTAATGTTTTTTTATAGAATCTGAAATACGACCAGCATTTTTCGTCTCCATTATGCCGCACCCTTATACACTGTCTGGTATAGATGGTGTAGTAAAGTTTGACAATGTCATCGTTAACATAGGGGGTGGTTATGACAAGTCAATTGGTGTTTTCACCGCAGGAAGAACAGGACTATATCAAATATCGTGTACGATTATTGGAGATCGTGGACATGCTGTACACTTCTTGTTAGCTAAAAACGATGCAGAATATATTAAGGGACATTCAGCCTTAGGACCTCATACATCGGGCACTATAAATGCAGTTATTGCAATGCATAAAGGCGATCGTGTTAATATCAAACATCGAGCTACTCACCATTCGGAGAATATTACAGGTTTAAATCATTCATCTTTTTCTGGTTATTTTCTGCAGGATTTGTATTGAAGTCTTTAGCGACTTAATTTTTATTCTGTTTTTTTAGCAGTACATTGCGGTATGGTTGTTAATCAAAGGGCACATGGATTTTATTAAACAAAATGTAAACATTTTTTGTTAATTGATAAAAGTAAAAGAAGGTCTCATTAATTGGTCTAAATTTTACTATATTTCAGCACAAATAAGACATGTTGAGAGGATATTTTATTCCGTCTGCAACTTTTTAGATAAAGTTTTTGCATCATAAATTCATACAGCTGATAAGTTTAGGGATTGAGCTTCAATTTTGTCGTATTAGCTAAAACGTCTTATTGATAAAGGTTATAATTTTATCAATCAGTACGTCAGGTATTTTTTGGGATAAACATCAAGTCACTAATTCATAGTTGGACGAAAACAAAATGCAAACATACTTTGATACCATGTATATTGTTTATTATGCTACAATGTGTGTACTTATCTTTTTTTGTAATTATCTATTTTACCGTTATTTCAGAGTTATATTTTGTAAATTTGCTTCATCTGTACCGAATTTTGTTCTATATTGTTTTGACGGCCAACTGATCGAGATATAACACAGGGAAACGTTAAAAAGCCCCCACATAAATAAAAATAAGGAAATGTTGTATGATTGCCAATGAGACAACTCTCCACCAGAGACCAAATTACAAAGAAGTTAACAACTATAGGTCACCGTATGGCCTTTAGCAATGAACAAAACCCAAACCGCTTAGCCAGCTATAAAAGCCCCCGAAATGACAAATGTAAAACAATCCAAACAAAAAACTAACGGCCTGATTCATGTACAACACAATGAACGAAAAACAAATATGATATACATCAACAAACGACAACCATTGAATTACAGGCTCCGGACTTGGGACAGGCACATGCAGAATGTGGTGGGGATTTAAACATGTTTGCAGGTGCCCAACCCTCCCCTTACCTAGAACAGTGGTGTAACATATGCATGCTCTGTATGCATGTGTTTGCCCCAAGTCAGGAAAATATCGTCAGGGGTTATTTGTTGTCGTATCTTATTGTTTTTTTTTGTAATTTGGAGAATTTGTGTTGATGGCAGATCTTTGCTAATTCTGTTTATTAAAGCACAACTTTCATATCCTTCGAACAATTAGAGCTTCACATATTGTAGACATCTGTCTAAGAGCGAAGACTGTGTCTTGCCGTCTAGATGTCATTTGAATTTTTACTCGTTGGTTGCTATCTCGTTGACGCTAACCCCCTTATCCTTGTTGTTTATCGTGTTGACAAAAAAATAAAACAAAAATAGTATCTATAGATCTATCCGTAGAATTTCTGATATTTTTCAAGGCACTTTAAAAAATCTTTTTACTGTCTTTTTCTGTATATTTCAATGTTTCTATTAACTTATTTTCCTGCTACACAATTAAGGTTTTTTTTCAGTTTAATTATTCAAAATTAAGTTAGATTACATCTACCATATCAAATTTCTCTTATTCGAACTCATACCATAGAAGTTTTATATTGGCTACTTCCATGCTCAAACAAAGGTTTGACTTTTTTGCCTGTAACAAAAGTATCCCTCATTCTCAACTTGATGACATATTGCACTTATCATTTATTGTTATGCCCCACCTAGGGGCATTATGTTTTTGGTCTGTGCGTCCGTTCATTCTTCCGTCCGTCAGTTCGTTCGTTCGTCCGTCTGTCCCGCTTCAAGTTAAAGTTTTTTGTCCTTCAGGTTAAAGTTTTTGGTCAAGGTAGTTTTTGATGAAATTGAAGTCCAATCAACTTGAAACTTAGTACACATGTTGCCTATGATATGATCTTTCTAATTTTAATGCCAAATTAGAGTGTTGATCCCTATTTCACGGTCCACTGAACATAGAAAATGATAGTGCGAGTGGGGAATCTGTGTACTATGGACACATTCTTGTTTTGGATAGCTTTGATTCGCAAAAAAGGATAACCAACGTAGATAAAACTGTATTGTTTTATTTTAAGAAACAAATCCTAATTTGTTGAAAAAAATCCCTCCGATTTTACAAAACAAAATCTGAAACTGACATCGTTAAGTGCATTATTTTTTTATTGACGTTAAATTTCATATGCATTTCGGCATTCTTATGGTAACGATGAGTGTCCCTATGTTAACTTTTAATCCTAAGAAACAGACTTCATAAGGGAGAGGGGCTAAAAGTATCCTTTGATATTACACTTCTGTATAACGATGATTTTCTATTACTGTGTTGTTCAAAGTTTGATAACTAATTTTTATTAGGTCGATACATACAGTTGAACTTCACTTCAAGTATACCACAGAGGAAGCTGTATGTAAATCTGCTTCATATCTTGGGTATCATGACTTGGTAATCGTATTTGTTTCATGGTAACATTATATATATTCCGTTTGTTGTATAGCAACATCAAATCTGTTTTGTTTTTTTCATGGCTTTCGATGGGTGCACCAGTGGTGCATTTTAAAAAAGAACAAACCATTCCGATACACATGAGTTAATCGGTGGTTTTGGTAGAGTTCCTGTTGCTTAATTGTGTGTCCACTGTATTTTGTTGAACGGTCTATTTTATTTTTTTTTTTTATCTTTTTGTCTTTGTGATAAGTGTCACTCTTTTAATATGATTTTCCTTACCTTCTTGATATAAATAAAGGCAACAGTAGTATACCGCTGTTCGAAACTCATAAATCCATAGAGATACAAACAAATCCGGGTTACAAACTAAAACTGAGGAAACGCATCAAATATAAGAGGAGAACAACGACACAACAAAAACACAACATTAAAATGTAACACACACAGAAACGAACCTTGTTATTCTTAATTAGAAATTCGGCGAATGCATCCAGGGAATTCTTTTAAATTTGTAATTGCAACACCATTTCAATATATCATTATTACTATTATTTGTTTTTACTTTTGCATAATGGGTTTTGATGTCCTACATAGAGATTATAGTGTCTGCATGTAGGTAAACTTTAGGAATATTTCAAATTATGCGTACAATGTCCTATCTGTATTAGTTTGGTCAGTTGTCAATTGACGCTTTCGACTGTTCTGTTTTCATATAGGGTACTGTGAAATTGTCTTCCTAAAGATATTGTTTGGGTACCTTCTAACAGCACGGATCCGGCATACTGAAATCAGTATCCTACTTCATATTGCATTGACAAGGCATTAGCACTGAGGGCGCAAGACATTTGGACTGAATCATATCTATGACCATGGTATCAATTCAGTTAAAAAATTTGGGGTCAAGTTAACGATTTGGGCTAATCTTATTTTCTACCTTTATGTTTCTTATAGACAAGTTATCTATATCAGTACCAATATTTGATATTAAATATATAATATATCACTTAAAAATAAATGAAAAATACAACCTGCATACAATATGGTCATTTGAAAAGCATGTTAGTTCCAAAAGATAAGAACTTGAAGTCTTAGACCATTTAATGGAAATGAGTTGAGATCAGGCAGTACTACACGTTTACAGTTTTTAAAAGATGTTAGCTTTAAAATCAGGACCGCAATCAATCTTTGAGAATAATTGACTGGATGTACTTTTATATCTTAACTTAGCTGTTTTATATCTGCATGCAGGTTGTTCATAGTTTAAAACAAACATTTGAGCGGTATTAATACACATCTTGCTAAAAATCTCATTTCTTTTTCACCGTGATCACTGTCTTGCAAACAGAAGGGGTGCATAAAACATGAAATGTTATAAATAGAATCTCATTTATTGCATTTCGAATATTAATAAATAGTTAAAATATAGATATGATACCCGTGAATTACATGTACATGTGAGGATTAGCTCAAAATGTCGACATGCCATTGGCCCAAACGTAATATATTTTTAGACCAAATTACACACCAATTACCACATCTCCCAGGACTGAGCATGGAACGAACATACTTATTTGATATTTAATAGTGCACATGGCGTTTTCAATATCACACCCGTACCAAACCGAGACACTAATATAATCCGAAGAGCTCTGCTCGATGCATTTTATTGGTTGAGGGTTGAAACGTTGTGCGATATTGAAAAAATCCATATCATATATACTTTACTTTTCTGGTATTGAAGTGTGAATATATACCGGAACCAATACAGAAACAGTCAGTAAATAACACTATATTTTCTATAAAATACTTCATCATTGACAAATAATAACAAAATTCCATTCAATGCAATCAAACTGTTTATATTCAACCAATAATCAATGTTTTTCCCTGTACAAGTGCAACATAGCTTTAGCATTTTAAAAGAATTTCTGTGGTAGCTTTAATTTATGAGCACTCTATGTCAATATATAAACAATTGAATTTGAGCAAGAGCTGAAGACCTCTATGAATTCTCCCCACTAGACCAAATCACTTATTTAAAACGAAATGTTTTATATAAAAAGCAGAACATGTGGTATGATTGGTCGGTTGATAACAAAGCTTTACGACAAAAGAGATGATTGCAGCTTCCCAATTGTGAACTTTCCATTTCTATGTAGCAACATTCCTGCAGCGCCTGCATACGGAGCATATATCTGCCAGTTGATACGATATTCCAGAGGTTTTATTTCCATTCATTTTATTGATAGAGGGGTGCTTCTCACAAGGAAGCTATTAAACCAAGAGTTCCAAGTG